AAAATATTCGAGGGCACGGCCATAAAGATCACCGTTTGCAGTAATAATATTACCATTCCCTTGCCAAACGAACAAGGAAAGATTATTGAGGAATATCATGCGTCCGCCTTAGATGATCACAAGGGTGTAACAAAAATTTATATTTGTATTCAGCAACGTTTTTCATGGCCTAACATAAAAACAGAAATCCAAGCGCATATAAAAACCTCGGGACTGCCAGCTGAAAAAAATGACAAGGATAAAGACGCGCCAACCCATGGTCCTCACGGACACGCCCGACAGCCTTTGCCAAGCTTTCAATGGATATTATGGGCCCACTACCTGTTACACAAAAGAGTAACGTCTATATCCTCACGATTCAGGATTTACTAACAAAATATTTACTGGCAATCCTTTTACAGCGTGCTACAGCCATAGATACCGCGAATGCGTTTATCGACGATTTCATATGTACGTACGGAGCCCTTACCAAAGGCGCTCCTTACCGACCAAAGATCGAACTTCATTAATAGTTTTATGCGCAGAATAGCACGAAAATTTAGGATAGCACAATGTAAAACAACCGCATATCGTCCACAGGCGAACGGATCGATCGAGCGATCTCACCAAGTGCTGTGAGACTACCTAAAGCAATACATCAATAAAGATAACGAATGGGATACCTGGCTCAAGCTAGCCTGTTTTTCGTATATAAGCGTACATGAGGGAACTAACTATATTCTTCACGAGTTAGTATTTGGTAAAATCGCTCGAACCCCGTCAAGCGTTCCCGCGTCGGAAGACGGCCAAGACGAAAGCTATACCCATTATCTCACGGCGCTATTCAATAGACTCAGGGATACTCGGACAATAGCCCGTGAAAATCTAATAGCCGCCAAAGAACGATCCAAATTATACTATGACCATAGGATAAACACGCGCAATTTTAAGTTGGATGATAGTGTATATTTGTTAAAAAAACCTAGGAAAAATAAGTTAACGGATTAGTATGTCGGTCCATATCGCATTATAGAACTTCTAAATAATAATAATGTAAGATTAGAGATAAGTCGTATCCAGACGCGGGTAATCCACGCAGACAAATTGAAGTTGGCCTACGGACGCCCCCACCAAGGGTACACCCCCTCCGCAGCAGTAGCCGAGCAAGCAGTACCTGGCATCAAAAAACAAAACCAGTCAGGACCGACCAGCGTACACGAATAACCATGCTCGTGAAACTCTTCGTAATTAACGCCTCGTTATTAACGTCGACATCTCACCGGATATGACTGCGGGGGTGAAGGGTTGAATATTACCTCGCTTTCTCTTGGACATCGAGGCCTGTGACCTGAAGGGCATCAAACCCAAGAAAAAAAAGTGTACCTACAATTGCTACAACTGTCTGATTAATATATCGATAAAACCGAAGTCCTGCAGTGCAAACTGGAAGTCGATAGGACAGTCTTCTACTGCGGAATGCACTCACATGTTTCGGTTGTCAGCAATGGCCGAAGAGAATACATCCAAAAACTTGGAGCCGACGCCTGCCGAAAATTATATGACACAGGATCTATAACCGTGTCAATAACCGTGGTCGACCAAATCAAAAGAAATGTCACGAATTGGCGAAGTATTATGCTCGCAGGGAAAACCATGGCAGATGGAGGATGCCGCGGAGTCTCATACACAGACAGATACGGATCTTGGGACAGCGTGATTGCCCAAGCGTCCGTCAAGATTACAGTCAGGGCTCGAGGCATCTATCAAGAGATCGACCCATGAAATTATCCTGCCTTCCGGGACGCGCTGTGGAGTGAACGAAAGAACCTGCACGGATGTCGACAGTGCCGAAACCTACTGGAAAACCGTCTCGACCAACAGTTGTCACTTCGACCAATACGACATCCTATACGAGGTAATCGCTATCAGACTATTACCGAGGGAAAACAAAATTTCTACAGTGGTTTACACTGTGACCAGGCGCGACACTACCTTCGCACTAACCAAAACCGAAAAGATCAGCTTATGCGGATATAAGCTATTCCGGACAGAGCACCCTAAGCTCCTCATCTTAGAAACACAGCGTGACCACGCGTTCAAGACCAGATCACGAATTTCAGTGGACAATCTGGACATCTTAAAATACGTTAACTCGAAATTCGTCTACGTGGAAAAACATGTTAGAACGCAACTCACCCGGCTCTATCGGGATATTATGGAGCAAAGGTGCGCTCTGGAGAGACAAGTTCTCCAGAACGCGTTATCTCTAGCAACCATTGCCCCAGATGAGATGGCATTCCGAATTATGAAATCGCCAGGCTACACAGCAGTCATGGGAGGCGAAGTAATCCATATAATCAAGTGCCACCCTGTCGAGTGCAAGATTCGACATATTGATTGGGTGCTACAGCGAACTCTCGGTGGCATACCGCAACACTTCGATGTTCCTGCTACCACGTTCCCGCATGCTGACGAGCAAAAGCACGGCGCGAGACTGCAGCAACCTCCTGCCGACAATGTATAAAATTCAAGAAAACTGGTTCCGGATCATGAATAGGCCAATCGAAGCATTGGCCCCGCCAACAATACTCTCGCTCGGCCTTCGTGGAAATACGTTAGTCCCGATTCCCTGGCGATTAGCGGCATATATTCAAACGAGGACCTCGACTGCTTAAAAAGCCACATCATGTTCCCCATAAAGTGACCCTCCGTGCTTAACGCAATTGCCCGCGGCGCAATGGGTCAATAAGTCCCTCCGGGCAGCATCTCAGTAGCGAACCTTTTGGACGAGGAAGCCCTCGACAAGATAGCTCAGGGAGCAGCCCAAAAGTTCTGGCGAGAATTTGTAACGTTCAGATCAGTAAGCGCAGGAGCGCTCGGAATATTTATCATCATACAATTGATAAAATTAATTGTAGATGCTCTGATCCACGGGTACGCATTACACTCAATCTACGGCTGGAGCATCCACCTCCTCGCAGCAATCTGGGGATCGCTCACGAACCTATTGCTACATATGGGACGCCCACCAAGACGGAGACCACACCAGCAAGACGAGAATACTTTGTTCTCAATGCAGGGACACCGGAAGAAAAACCGATCGCCACCGAGCTACCAAAATCCACCGCACCGCTACAAGAGGAGTGCGAAGTGATAAGTGAAAAAACTGACAATGTACGCTCATACAGTGAACTACAAAAATATCTTAACGAATGAACAGTGATTATTCGAAGTGGATCTTATTTCATAATATCTTTCATTGTATCGTAGCACTAAGAATAGATTAGATAAACTCCGAGTGATCAAAAATGCCGGACTCGCGCGTCCGACATTTTTCTCCCAGGGCGGGAGGTGTTACATCCGCAGTATATACGAAATTAATTTTTTCCTTTTTTCTTTCATGATAATAACCATTGAAATTATACAAGCACCACGTGCTGTAAAGCGACACCACCTCCTGGCGCTAGCGTCACCATGGTGGAAGTATAACATGGTGTGTGCAGTTGGCAAGTGTCTCTCTCTAAAAATCTGCCCTCTTCGTCGTTTGGCTGTCGATGTTGGGAAAGCGGTACCAACTGCGAAAAGCGAAATATTTGGCGTCGAGATGTTGGTATGGAATCTATAGTACATGTAACGCGAACTGTAGATTTTCATACCGGCAGTATACAGGGTGTCCCATAATAACCGCCTAAAATCTCGTGGGCTGGTAGAGCAGATTAAACTGAATAGAAAAGTCCTCTACCATTTTGCAAAATTCGCAATCGTTAACGAGATAGTAATTTTTGAAGATTGGCAAACGCGTATTCGTCCGACCTGAATACCAGCGGTGGGACGGCCATATCTTGCCGCGTTGCTAAGCGTGTGGGGATAGAGTCTATCCCCACATGCCTAACAGCGCGGCGAGATACGACTGGCA